GAGGACTCGGAGGCTCCTCGGTCGGCCTAACTATTTATAGAACGAGTATGGAATGTAATTTACGTACTCGACAGCTTGGTGGACAAGAACGGGAATAGACACATTTACTGAAATTGTCTTTCGCGCAACACACTTTAAGAACGTGTAATACATAAGTACAAAAGTTTTACTTCACTCATCAAGTTCATGTCACGTTTATTTTGCTTTTATTTCACTCATCAAGTTCAATTAACGTGTATTTTGCGATCATACATGTATGTAAATTATGTCGACTGCGGGACTGCGGTAGCAAGGATCAACAAGGTCAACACCAACGCGCACGATGCAAGCGGCATATTTCGTGATGTTTATATACAGATATTAGGTAAAGTATGTCGACTGCGGGACTGCGGTAGCAGGATTTGATGAATGATATTTCAGTGGCCGGGTATTCTGAAGTTTAGCCACAAAAAGTAGTAGTGGGATTTTATTATTTTACCCGATCAAGATTAAACGAGCCCCTTTTTCCACTGGGGGAATTAACCGGTTCTTTAAATAGTACCTTGCTTTAGCTAGGTCCCTCCTGTAGCAAATTAGATGCCGCTTTTTCTTTGATGACTTTTAGAGGTCAGAGAAATAAATAGGTCATCACTGGGACGAAACTTACAGCAAAGAATCGTTTCTTCCGGATAAGCCAACTTCATGGCTAAAATGTTACAAAGCTCCATCAAGGCTTAAACAGGCACTAGCATTCCCTCCGAAATTTGTGTTTTTATTCAACAAGGTAACATTTCATTCCCAAAAAACTGTGAGATCGGTTGTCTTGTCACGAGACTGTGAGAAACGTAAAAAAAATTGTGAGGCTCACGTCCGAATCATGAGAGTTGGCAAGTCTAGAATGTGAAAGATAGGACAATCAACATATTGCAAACATGTAACAAAGAAAAAAAATCTCTAGCACTTAAAGATTACAAGCAGTCTCTCATTTTTCTGTTGAATGAAAATAGATTGAGAGCTAGCCAGTCCCACGCAGATGTTCTTAGGGGTAGATCACACGTTCCTTCCCCACTAATGTCTTCGGAAACAAGCAGTTAACTTCCTTTCCCATTGTTCACAAATATCAGCTGGAGCTCACATGCAGATTATCGGAGAGCCAATCGGCACTGTTGAAGTCAAAGTGTTGACAAGCCAAATACATTAGCTCCGGACAGGAATATTTAGGAGATAAGCATTGGAGTTAAAGTATATTTCTCTTTGTAAAGGCTGGATTAGATTTGATTTGCTCATAAAGTTGTTCTGTGGGTGAGGTAACGGCGGGGTTGTCCGTTGTAACTGAACAAAGGGCAGAATTTTTTTTTGCACTTTATTGTTTTGTAGTAAAGCCGACTTCCATTCAGCAAATTAAACCTCAGTGGAAATTTTTTCAATGAGATCGTGAGGGCGGTCTCTATAGTACAAAGGTGTGTGAGTTAACTGAGTAGTTTGTTCTAAAAGTATAAGGTCTTCACCTTTTGAGACATTTCTGATCTTTTCTGGAGTCTCATGCGAAATTCCTCAAGGTCCAAAGTGCACTTCCCGGATCTGGAAGTGTGCTGTAATAATTATTGGTCTACCTTTTTGGAACTCTAGTCTGCAGACGTTTGTGGGGCAGGAATGCGTGACGAACCTCTAAGACCATCTGCGTAGGAGGCTAATTGAGAGCATGTTTGAAGGGCGTTAGATTGAATGTTTATTTGTTGTTCTCTTTTTTTTGTAGGATTTTACATTTAAACAAATGAGAAAAATCCGAATGTTCGAGGCACCTGAAAGTTTGCCCACTCCTCGCTGCAGTTTACTTGCTGTGTCATCAAAGTTTGGCCTGACATTCGTGGGTTGCCCAACAGGTAAACTACATGATTGGCTGTACCATATGATATCAAATAATTATGTGTTATGAGAAAGGTTGTCAGTGGGTAGCATATTAAAGGTTATCCATCAAGTGCATGTACACAGTAGTTGTTAACATTTATTTATTTTTTTTTTTTTACTTTTTTGGAAACTCCTCTGGACAGAGACAACAGACTTATTCATACCCCTGCACTTTTGCATATTAATTATTAGTTAAAAGATATAAGTGGGTTTACGGTAAACCTGCTTC